GCGAACAGGTCAACAACCATCGAAATCTTTCGATAATTATCAAATAATTATAGTTATTTGATCAAATTTAATAATTATCAAATAATCGAATCATGTAAACGGAAATAGTTAAACTATTATCGGTAGATTTCATTCGACGTGGCAAGTATTTCGTCGCTTTCGCGGTAAAATATCGTACGCGTTACCTTGTATTTTCCGTCGAGAAGCCGGATACGCATTTCGCTCTTGAATAATAATATAATTGGACGATTCATAAAGGGTAAGTGCTCGTACTTGCGCCTATGAACAGCCCTATTATCGTCAACTATCGTCTTTGTAATGCAAAATCAATTTCCTCTTCGCCTCCCGTCGTCTCGTTCGGCATCCAGTTCGACGATTCGCTCCTCTCCTCGGCGTACCGATTCAACTTCTTCTCTCCTTTAATAAATCGCTTTCGAATTCTTTCGATCGACGCGCAACAAATTACCATCCGAATTTGGTATTTCGGATTTTGAAAAAATTTTGAAAAAATTTGTTCAACGCGACTCGATAAAAGAATAAACGGGGAACGAAAGCGTTCGAGGGGTGGAACGTAACGGGGGGAATGCAAAGCAACGCGAACGCAAGAAGCGAGGTAGCTATCATTTTCCTCTCGATTTAGATCGTTCGTAAATCTTCGGAAGCAAACAAAGATCGCCGAAGGCTCTTCAGAGTATTTGCGGCGTTTCTTTTCGCCGAGCGGACTCGATTTATGGTGTTACGGGTCAATTTGGTGGCGCGTATACCCAAAGGACGAGCCGTGACGAACGATTCGGCAACGCGTTTACCGGCCCTAAACGTTAAATTAACCGAAAACCATTGACAACCGCGGGGAATTCCAACGTATGTACGTCGTACGTTGTACGGTACACAACGGTTAGATGTAGGGACGCTTCGCTTTCGTACCTTTCAGCGAACAAATGTTTCCTTTTTTTTATGGACAGTTTATATTTTACGCGATTACGAACGGAACTAATTAAAATAACGTTAACGAGGAGGAACGATAAACGGTTAGACCAGGAGAATCGGTGGAGAGGACGAATAAGCGTTCTCGCGATGTCCCGACGAAGCGTGGCCAAGAGGCGGTTGCTCGGGTAATAGGGAAGCTAGTATACGGTCCGTGATCCGGAACGTAGTGCCGCCTATTGGAAAATCTAGCCATTATGCGAGGCCCGGCAACTCTATCGCCGGAGTCGGCCGACCTCTCGACGGCTAAGGCCATGCTTTATTTTGCCACTCGGGGAAGTCATCCGAGGGAAGACGGAATTTTTATTCAAATTTCATTCGATCCGTCCTCGAACTTTCCTTAGACCCATTCCACTTGGAATCGTAAAATCGACCAGTTCTCTAATACCGAGACTTTGCCAATTTATTCTATTTATTCTGATCGTCGTTATTCTGATTCGCCCGCGATGCGAAACGGGAGTGTCGATGCTCGTGTCGAGTACGTACGCGGTATTTCTGTCGAAAGAAATACTATTTATTTGTTAAATTGTAAGCCCTTTCTTCCCGCAACGGGTGAAATTTCGAAGGAAAATCGCTTGGCGCGTGTTCGAACGGTAGAGAAGAAAAAGGCGAACGATCATGATTCGCGAAACAAAAGCGTTCGTTACAAAAGAAAACCGGTGTTGAATTTCCGCTGGAAGTCGGAGTTAGACGCGTTCGCCGCGCTATGGCACGAATAGACAACACCTAAGGCGATCGCGTACACCCGTCCGATAAGAGTTTCGGGTGTCGGTTGCCAATGTCAGCGCTGAGTTATCGTCTCGTTGTTTGTCGCGAAGTCGACCCACGTTTTGCTACGGGCGTTCGAAAAGCGGAAGCAGCCAGAAGAAGCGACTGGGTGGAACGAGGCCGAAACGAAAACGAACACTACAATCAGGGGCCGAGCTTTTGAAAGAAGAAGGGGAGAGAGCCAAAGTAATTTCATTGCTAGAAGAAAAGAAACTGCTCGTCTCCGCGACAATACTCGTCGTCGCTTCCAGCCTGTTCCACCGCGTTCGAAAATTCTCGAATACCTCTTATCGCTGACTGACTGTCTGGCTGTGTGCCTCCGAATATTCGATATCGCCGACACGCTCGTTGCGATTCTACGCGTTTTCCTTACGTATTCGACTAACGCGTAGATAACAACCCGCGATTTTCCTGCCGCGAACGAAACTGTTTCGCTCTTAACGTCGCGATCCGAAGAAGAGAAAAAATGATAATGTCCTAAAAAAGTACAGGACGACGAAACGAAAAACCGACCCAAGACGAGGAAAGAAAGAAAAAAGAGAGGAAGGAAACGAAAGAAGTGGAACTGGCCGCGAACGTTTGTCGCGACGGCAGTTGCAGTACGAAAAGAGTTGCTAATGATTCGCTAACGAGATACGTGCTCGGTCTGTTTCATGCGGAAACGAAGGAAAAACCGACCATTTTAAAAGCAGAAAAGGAGGAAGGGGCCGAGAGAGAGAGAAAACAGTCCTTTACTCGAGAGTCTTCGCCTTCACCTTTTCTGTGTTGCCTCTGATGAACTTCGTCTCGTTTTCCCTTGCTTGCTTTTATCTCTGTCTCGTCCTCTTATTGTTTTCGTCGCGTCCGCAGAGACTTCGTGCGTCTATCGCTACATCTTTGCATGTTAAATACATCGTTTCGGTCGTTCATCGTAGATTCGCGATTCAGATTACGTAGTAGGAGGATCGCGGGATGTATAAAAGATACTAGAACGACTACGACGACGAAAAGATATTGTTACTCGCGCGACCAACTATTCGAGTCGTATCGAGAACCTTTACGGTTCTACGAGGAGGCTACGAGGAGGCTACGAGGAGGCTACGAGGATCGAACGAACGGACGCAAAACGAAAGAAGAAAAGTTCCAACGACGAGAAACGAAACGGCAGCCTTTGCCGGTACGCGAGCTAGTTTTTCTCGATGCAACGACTTTTCTCTCGACCTAGACTCGTTTTATTTTCCAACCGCTTTACCTTCGAACTTTTATTTACGTGTCGGTCGGAAAAGCGTTCTCGTGTCTCGACATCGACGATACCCTCGCCTAGCTAACGCCGCGCCTACACGGCTATTCCGATCCGCCTCCAACTCCCATGCTCGCGTTTCCATTAAAACCTTGCCAACCGAGGACCTCCGCGATTCTATCGACTCGATCTTTACCTACGAATATTCGTTGCTCGATCTGCCGACCGTCAAACTCAAGCGATTTAACGCAACGAAACAAACAATAACTATTATTATATTATAATAGAGGTTATTATTCCTTTTATTCGAAACAATGCCAAAGGCAAAGAAATCGATGGAAAGTTCGTGCCTATTAAATTTCGATCCCTCCCGACTAAATGACGAATGCCACGATGACCGATCGGTTACCGTTAATATTTTCGATATTGTCCTCTCGCATTCGCGTTTCGCATTCGTCATCCATCATAACTCGCGGTGCGCACGGGATCAAAGTAATTCCCTGTCAGTGACATACTTCGGCTTCTACAACGTGTCAAAGCCCTCGTTTCAAACCTATCCGTCAGTTATCAATTATCGACGCGATACCTTTTTATTATTATTACTCGAATCATTTTCGAATCTTTCCGCCAAAGATAACGTTCAGAAATTTCCTATTCTTCTTAACGTCTTAGCGTTTTAAATGCCAGTCAATATCGATTTACCGTGTTAAAGATAAATAGAATAATTTCGTATCCTTGTTCTTTTCATTATGCACAATGATAAAGAAACTATTTCTCCTTTTAGTTGTTCTTACTTTTACTATCTCTGCCTATCACCACAGAGTTTAATCTAGCCCGCTATAAAGTCTTAAATTCAGTAATCTTAAATTTTATTTTTCCTTCACCGAGAACATAGATGCCTTCTTTTTCGCGTTGAAGTCGGCTCATTGGCAACGCTAACGCTAAATAGAATGTACACAGTCCTCGATCGAAGAAAGAAACTTACACTACACTTTCTTATGTCATAGATCTAGATTTTCGAATCTAGGTCCCCCTTATCATTTTCGTGTCGCATTCTACCGAGACGAAAGTCGACAACAGGAGTGACCGTCGAGACCAACCGAGCCGATAGACGGCGCGTCATTTTCGCAATTTTAAATATCCAACAAAAATCTGTAGAAGCGTCTCTTATTTAATATCGATGTATGTTAAACAAGCAGATCGACGACAGAAATAAAATCTTGCAGTTGTCGCAAAGATCGCAAGATAAAACGTCCTGCCAAATACTTATCAATATATGTGTTTATATTTACTTATGTATATGTACACATCATTGATAGATAGTGATCCGCATGAGGGGTGATGTAGGAAATGTTTCGCGATACTGATCACGATTGGGTACGAGTTAAGATACGGCTGATTTACGAGACTATTCTAAATAGATTTGAAACTTTCCAGCATTTGCAATCACTGTTGCTCTCTGTTTCTGCCCAAATAATCGCTCTTTGTCATTCTTTTAATTTTAATCAGTTTTGCTAACGATCAATCAAAAATACGAACACGGTTTCAAACTATTACAACGTATCTGTAAGGTATTTTGTTCACCTTGCAACACGACTTTATTGCACGCGATGCGACTTGACATCAGTTTTACGAGAATGAGAATGATGGATGCTATTCTCTTTGGTATGAGCCCAGTTTACCAACTACTATAAGAATTCAAACTAATTAACCTAACTGAATCTAGTTATCTCTAAGAGGCGCTTCCGTAGGCCTGCGCTGTCGGTCACTACTATAGATCTATATGTCTATGGTCATTACATATCAGCGCCATCTATTATCATACCTAAAAGTACAGATTTTTTTCAGTTTTCGCGCGCTTCATGATCACGGCGGTGAACGTTCCATGAGTACCAATCTATCCAGACTTCTCCCTAAACGCGTATAATCGTCGTAGGAAATTTTATATTAACAATTTTACAACAATGCTGTGTAAATATGCGCATGATCTACGCATGCTTATACGCGTATCCCTTAGTACATTGTATACAATTATCTTTTCGGGAAACCTTCGAGTTGCAAGTTTTAAATGGTGTTCAAACTGGCATACGGGATTTAAAAGAAAGAATTGGTATTATAAAGGTTAAAATAGTATTCTAGCAAAAGTGTAATAAATTTAAATAAGCGATGAACGTTGCTGATGGGGTTGGATATTCACGATCAGAAGTATTCGTGCTCGTGGCTAGAGTATCGTTTATCGCTGCTGTTGGATTTTTTAGTATGAAATGGATTATGAATCAGCTTGATCCTACGAACAATGCAAAAAAGAAAGCTAGGAAAAAGGTTACACATTTAATATTTTTAAATTCTTTCTTACGTAATTCATTGTTCATGTATTGAGAAAATAACCTTACTTATTGCCTTACTGATTAACAGTTTTGGAAAAAATGTGACATGTTATTTTTTTCATAGGCACGAGAACAGTTTCGGAAATTGGCCAAGACCGATAACTTATTATGGAGAGTGGACATGAATCAGTTAACGGATTATGAAATGATGATAGCTAATCATATAGTTGACCCCCAAGATATCCGAGTTTCATGGGAGAACATTGCTGGCCTTGAACACGTTATTCAAGAACTTAAGGAAACCGTTATATTACCTATACAAAGAAAAGAATTGTTTGAAGATTCTCAATTAACGCAAGCACCAAAAGTACGTGGTCATATGTTAACCATCAATATATATGTATATACATATATATATATATATATTTGTTATTTAATACATTTAATTCAGAGCTCGCATTTTGTTGCAAGGGTGTATTGTTGCACGGACCACCGGGTTGTGGGAAAACGATGATTGCTAAAGCGACCGCGAAGGAAACTAAAACGTGCTTTATTAATCTGGATGTAAGCATTCTAACCGATAAATGGTATGGCGAAAGTCAAAAATTAACTGCGGCAGTTTTCTCGTTGGCTGTGAAACTTCAACCGTGCATAATTTTTATCGACGAAATAGGTCTGTAACGAAAAAAGAAAAAAAAAGAGAAAAAAAAAGTTAAAAAAAATCGTCGCATAATGTATGCGAACGATACAAATTTTAGAATGTTCTGTACCGTTTGTTCTATAGATTCATTTTTAAGAGCTCGTAATTCGCAAGATCACGAAGCAACTGCGATGATGAAAGCACAGTTTATGTCTCTTTGGGATGGATTAATCACCGATCCTTCTTGCACGGTCATAGTAATGGGTGCTACCAACAGACCTCAAGACTTGGATAAAGCTATTCTTAGGCGTATGCCAGCCACTTTTCACATTGGCTTACCGGTAAATAAGATGTACAAACAATCGCGTTGTTTAAGTAACGAGTATTCGAGAATGTACGATTATTCTAAATGCATTTCAGAACGAACAACAACGAATGCAAGTGTTAAGATTGATATTAGAACATGAACCAATAGCAGAAAATGTGGATATTGCAAAGTTAGCTAAAATGGCTGAAGGTTTCTCGGGATCGGATTTACAAGAACTTTGTAGGAATGCATCTGTATATCGCGTTCGAGATTATTTACGGACCCACACGCAGTTAATATTTTGTTTTAATTATAAATGAATATAACAACCATTTTAGCGACTCAGTTTATAATTTATTTTAAAATTGTTATAGAGATGCAAGCGGAAATACCGACGATGAAGAATACCATGACGCTGTGCGACCTATCACAATGGAAGATCTTCTTACCTCGTATAAAAAGATGAAAACCTCTAAAATATATACGGGTACACTTAGTGCAGCCAAATTAGATTTAGATTAAAAGAAGATATTTATAATGTATTACTTAATAGTCTATTTTGAAAAACAGAATTAGGGAAACAATTTTATAATAATATTATATAATTTTATTTTTTCATGTATTTAAATTGTTTGTTTCTTTGAAGGAAAATTTATTCTTTTGATGTTTCACGAGTTGGGAGTAGTCATTAGATATATTCTTTTGTTTACGATGATCAGAATCAAATTGGTATTAATTACTAAGTTGTCAGTGAAACTTATCGATATTTCATAAATTAAATTTATCGGATAAATTACTAATCATAAACAATTCATTCTATAATTTACATCGACATCGTTTTGAGAACTTTCAGTTGAGTATCATAATGTAAAGTCATAATTCGATATATTTCAAGCGTCTGAGATATATCGTTATGGGTTCCTTGGGTCTTTAGATACTATAATTAGAATAAAAATAATACTCTATCGTTCTAATATGAAAGAAGATGTATATATATCTTGATGATATATATATGATATATATATTTATTGTTTAAATTAGAATGATACATAGTGTCGAAGTACATGTACGGTTACGGTGATTTCTGTTTGACATTGTATTATAATTTCGTTTCGATTCTGAAAAGTATATTCTTCGTTTTGAGAATATACTTTTTTCGATTATATACCATCGAAAAACCATAGAATTTGAAAAACCAGAGCCATTAAGTGTATATTTAAGAACAAATGAACGTAATATATGGTGGATCGGGTGTACGTCAAGAACTTGGCAACTTGATGCTGTAGATGTTCACTCTTTCTGTACACTGTACAGAATACGCTTTGGTTTCGAAATTTTTTCCGAAACTCTACTTACAAACAAATTAACTAATCGTCATCGTTACCCTTTCTATATAGGAAGTTGTAGATAATGACTCTCGTTTAGTTGCTTTTCTCCAATTCCCAAAATGCACTCTAAGCTAAAGTGCCTCAACTACGAATAAGAGAAAAAATTTGACGAATTTAGCAATATCAACATTAATGCAACATTGGTACACAGCGTCCATCGTAATGTGAATTATTAAAGAAGAATCTTGCTTTTTGCGAGGTAAAGCAGTTCTTTTACGTATGCAATGTGTATGTAAATATACAAATATGTTGTGCGTATACTATAAAATTATATCGTTTATCCACGAACAGAAGAAAATTTTTGTAACGACTGATATTACAATGATCACGGAGTACGTACGTTTACTGCTATTTATGATATTAACGAAAGCTTGTAAGAGGTAATAATTTCGTTTAATCTAACTTGATAAATTTGATTTGATTCGAAGAAAACTTTCCAATACTTATGTTTCGCCGCTATGATTTATAATATCTTTTTTTTTACCGATCAACAGATGAAATATTTTATACTGGAAATTCGTAATCCTGTCAATTTTTACTAAGTTGAATTCACGTATATACGCAGATATTTTATATATTTTAATAGATTGCGTCATAAAAAGTATTCAATGTACCTTAACGATATGTAAATTGTATCATGTTATCGTTACATCTGTACGTACAAATTTCTGAATAACTATTCGTACTTGTTATTAGTAAACGAAGTAATATTTCGAATGTCATCGCTAGTTGTACACTTGTAACCAATTCAAAAACAAGATCAAGAGAAAAATAGCGTAATTGTAAAATTTAAAGATTCAATACATCGATTTGTGCAGAAAATTTAATAACGTGTACGTACAATGTATACTCGAGTTTTATCGAAAACCATGGCTTTCCAATTGTATATACAGAAATACGGTAATTCAACGATCGAAGATGTAACTAATTTTACCGACTACTATAAGAGATTTAAAATAACGTTTATCGCTTGTACGTTATGAAATATAACGTGTCATATAAAATGTGTATGAATGCTAGGACAAAGGATCATTCAACAGCGTTGAATATAAACCATCGATATGACTTTACTTCGTCCTTAATGTACGTTAATTTTCATTTGACAAAAAAAAAGAAACAGTTCGAATAAAAAAATGTCTGATTAATAAACGAGTATTAAAATAAGAATCCTTAGAAATGTTCAATTATAAGGTTAAAGATGATACATTAATCGTGTAGAATAGAAATTTTAATCTTTATGATTTGGCGCGAATATTTGGTAAGAATAAAGGATGGAAAAATATGGGGAAAAATGGAAGGCGCATGCGCAAAGAAAACAATACTAACAGAGTATCTCCGTGAGCAACGCACAGCAACGAAAGTTTCCGGGAATGAAACTTCTAGGAGCGCAAAGTCTCTGTGAGTTTCTACCCTTTCCTTTGCTTCTTTTTTGACCGGTAATCTACGGTCTTAAAATCGGCGGTGCACATCGAGAACAGGCGAGGATAAATAACAGGCACAGCCAGGCAACGAAAAATCGCAATCAGGCGCGATCAAACGCGTCATTGTGAATGGCGCTCCTAGTGACAAAGGTAGCTGCAGATTTTCGATTTCATACCAGACATAAACTGTGTTTAAAATGGATATTACAAGAAAATACTTCGGTCCGCTAATCAATCGTAACTGATTATTTATTCTTTTAATCAGTTTTATTCTACCGATGGTTTAACAAGGATACGAAAGCGGACGCTTGAAAAAAGTACGATGGCAACGATCGGATCCCGGCACGATTGTCCGTAATATTTTGTCTACCATCGTGATCGTGATGGTTGGATCGTAGCGTGGACGGCCGTTCCGCAACACCCGCGGTGCCTGATCTTAGCATTGGTGGTGGGTGTTCGTGTCATGTGTGCGTGTGCTACCTGTGTTGGCAAAGCGAGGATGTAACGTAAAGTTTGCGAGTTCCTCGCGAGCGTATGCACATAAATATGTGCGTTCAATGCATCTGCATAAGTTACATATCTAAAAACCACTGTATCTTCGGTACCAGAACGTGAATCAAGTTTGTGCGCTACTGCTTTGACACGATGACACAGTTGTTGTATCAAAACGTGATCCTCCTGTGAATGAAGTCTTTTAAATGAAAGTTTACACCTTGTTTGGGGTGATTAAACATCGCTTGTCAGCTGCAAGGAAACTAGACTAACGAATTAGATGGATCTTCGGAAACTTTTGTATACGTTAACGTTATTTCTTAGAAATTCACCGTAACTGGGAGTGCCGCTAGACCGCGGTTGAACATGTTCCGGAAGGATTGGACCGAATTTTACGTTATATACAAGAGCAAGATTGGTTTTTTACTTTTCAAGAAGAGAGTGGTACCTTGAATGACTTCTCCAAAATTTCGCGCAAATTCTTCGTAAATAATATGTGAACTTTCAATTAAGGAGAAATTGAACGATGTATTTAGTGAAACTGGCATGAAAATGTACCGCGATGTTAAGTGGCCTCTGTGATGTATCGCGAATGATGCTTAACCTAACTTTTCCGTCGACGCTTCGACACGGCGTTTTCTTGCGAGTAATATTCTTTCGATAACGAACTCGTAACCAAACGAACGTTAATCACGAAAGATCGTCGTTTCTTTTTTTTTTCTTTATTTTATTTTTTTCTTTCTTTGGTGTATCAAGCGCCGTTTTGTCTTTTCTGCTTTTTCGTGTATATATGATTTATGGTAGAATATAAGAGGTGATCGTAATTGTACAAATTCGAATACAATTTATACCTCTGATTTTATAGTGGAACGATACAAAGATTAATTTTACAGTATTCACATGAACATGTTCTTAACGATTTTATGTTTTAACATTTATATTGAAATTGGAATGTAGGTTTATTTGTATTTTTTTTTTTCCTTTTTATCCGTGATTTTTCTATCGCTTGCCAGTGCCTGTATAAAACGTATTTTTAAATACTCGTTATTAAAAATATGAGTAAAATACATGTGTATATATATATATATATACATATATATATATATATATCTGTCGTCTAAGTTGTAGTCGGTGATCCATGTTCAGGTTTTTATAAATTTTTTGTAGTAAAGGTGACGGGTAATCCTGACATTTTATTACCAACATTCTCTGCGCCAAAAACTTGTTGAAAAATCGTGATACACGTTTTTTTAGTTCGTGTTTTTGGAACTTGGAAAAAGAAGTTTATGGTTATCGAACAATTACACGGAAGTCTTGTACAATGTTTGTTTTTAAATCGTGTTGTGCGTGAATTTGATCAAATTTTACGTTTGTGCAAGTTACGTACTAATAGTCATGTCGAACCGGCAATGGTAACAGTGACTTTATTATCGAATTATAATCACGTGGTATACCGTAGCAAAAGAAGATTAAAAAAAACTCCATGAGCTGGATAATAGAAAGGACACATGCTCTGGGAATTAATGGGTATATGCTTTTCCTGCAGGAGACCTACAGGCAGCAGGTTGAATAATAAAATCTCAGAGCATATTTCGGCGTCGGTAACACCCCTCCATGTTTGTCTGGAGGAACAAAGAGGACCAGAACTGGGCTCTCGAGACGTCTCGGCTTATAGGCCACAGGTGCGTCGATTTATGTTTAAGGGAGGATGCAAAAGTTTCGCTAACAGATAATGGAATAATTTGTTTGTTTAGACAAAAAAATTGTGTGAAAAACAGGAAACAGAGGAGAGGTACGACGAAGAAGAAGAGGAAACTGAAATCATTGGAGCCGAAGCAGAAAATTTGAAATTTAGTCAGCCGAGCATGGCCAACACTATCAGTAATATGAAGATGACTAACCGTATTAAGGGGCTCGTAAGCAAACGTCGTAAACGATTTACGGAGGACGGTTTTGACCTTGATCTCACATGTATCCTTTCGCCGTAATTATTAAATTTATAGATCGAGTAGGGTGAAAAATTTTCTTAGCGAACAACTCTGTTAATGTATTCCTTAATAGTGGTGTATCGATAACAGATATAAGGGATGATTTGATAGCAATGGGTTTTCCAGCAGAGAAGTTGGAAGGAGTATATAGGAATCACATAGACGACGTCGTTAGATTGTTGGAATCCAAACACAAAGATCACTATAAAATTTACAATCTGTAAGTACTTATAAGCTAAAGAATTACAATAGTAGAATAACGTTAACGATACGTTGCGTTACAGATGTTCCGAAAGATCTTATGATTTTAAGAAGTTTAAGCAGAGGGTAGCTACGTACGCGTTCGACGATCATAATCCACCGATGTTGAATCAGATCAAGCCATTTTGCGAGGACGTGCACGAATGGCTTTCGCAGCATAAAAAGAACGTAGCGGTAGTCCATTGTAAAGCGGGTAAAGGTCGAACGGGCGTAATGGTTTGCTGCTACCTTCTTCACATTAAACAATTTCTCACTGCCACAGAAGCCCTTAACTTCTATGGAACTAAAAGGACACACGATAGGTAATTATAATGACGAGTAACTATATAATTAATTATATTCGATTTCGTAGGGATAGTTATACTTTTGATTAAATGTCGTTCTTTGCTGACGTTATTCATTGTTTAGGAAGGGGGTAACAATACCTTCTCAGAGGAGGTACGTAGATTATTATGCTACTCTCGTGCAAGAAGGATTGAATTATCAACCAGTTACATTATTATTACGAAAAATACAACTGGATCCAGCACCCATTTTTCACGGAGGTCAAGGATGTAAGAGTAATCGCTAAACGAAAGATTTTGAAAGAGGATCGAATGCAAAATACGATTATATGCAGTTTTTTTTCTTATTTTTCGTTTTAGATTTGGAGTGTATTATATCGGAATCGAAGAAAAAGATATTTAGCTCCGACATAGTGGAAGTACGGAAAGGAATGCAGAACGTTAGCATCCCGTTGAAGCACTGTATAGCGTTGACGGGGGATATACGAGTCGATTTCTTTAATAGACCAAAAATGAAACGAAAGGTATTTGTCCTGGTTGAAGGGTAAAGCAGCGAATTAACGAGATATATCGCGACGTAATTAACCGCGATTGTTTTGCTTTATACGCAGGAGAAGTTGTTTCATTTTTGGTTCAATACGTTTTTCGTGCGAGATTACTTAACGTCGGAGAACGATAACGGAGAGTTACCGGTCGAACGTTCTACGAGGGCATTGAGTTGCGACGGTACAACGATGGAATTACCCATGGTTATGTCGCACATGAAACCCAGAGCTGGGTCGCTAGCTAGTCTCGGATCCATGCCACCTACTCTTGTTTTAAGCATAGATAAATGGGGTTTAGACGACGCGCACAAGGACAAACATCACAAAGCGTACAGCGCAGATTTCAGGGTAAGTCTTTATTTTCTAATTTCTATCGTTAACAACATCTAAAATACATTTGACCTCGGCGATCGAACGGTTATTTTATTCGCGTATATATCGAATATTGCAGGTTAGTTTATTTATGCATCAAATGGGTGGTAATATAGCGCAAACTGTATCAGCGACGACGAATAGAACGGGAGAAATGCAAACGGGTGTACAGATAGGAATGGGAGGACAAGAGAGCCCTAGCGAGTCGAGCGAAGCGGATAGCAGCGAATGCGACACGACCGGAGATACAACGGGAGACGAGGACGGGGAATCTGGTGAGTCCTCTGCATCTCTGGTGGTGAATCACCATCCTCTTACACACAGCAGTAGCCGTACACACGTTAATATCCACCAAAGAGCTAGTCTCAGAGAAACTGCAAAGGGTTTACTCTCGCGTGGGGATAAAAGTAGAAATAGTCATCGACAGAGTACTAGCAATGTGAAACGTTCTTCGACTCTCGTACGTTCAGCCACGTTAGACACGTAATATATTTGATCGTATTTTGTACTTAACAGTTGAGTTCTCTGAACTGGCATTCAAGCTTTACAACTTTTACGCGAGAACGTTTTCTACTATTAGCTTTTCTTTGTTATGCCAGCATGAATCCACAGCATTCGATTAGTTGAAACGCATCGATTTTCATTTTTATCGTTTGGTATATTTAAATAACGTATTCGACGATTAATCGGTTTATTTTGAAAAATCGGCACTAGGGATAGATTTTGAAAGAAAACATTCGAAAGAACGATATTTTTCTCCGAAGAATTTCGAAGGATCGCTTTTAATTTCGATGTTAGTTCTATTAATCGGGAAGATCAGATCGATTTTTGAAAAACGGAAGTTACAGACATTACATGTAAGATTCCATTGGAATTTTCGAACGAAAGAAATTGCAGAGCGGAGTGTCGTGTTTCCTGTTCTTTTTTCCTCTCGTAGCGTGCACCATTTTGTAAAATACGATGTTCCAGTATTCGATCATTTATGATTTTTATTTAAAAGCGATTAGGAAACGCGTATCTATATTACGTTTCTTCTGTACGTTCTATACATTTTCGTTCGACTGTTTCGAGTATTTTGTCTCGGTGACTGTTTATTATTGTTATTATTATTATTATTATTATTATTATTATTATTATTATTATTATTATTATTAACATCATCGTCATCGTCATCATCCTCACCATAACCATCATTATTATTATTATTATTATTAATATTATTATTATTATTATTATTATTATTATTAATCGTCGTAGTAGGTGAATTTAACGTCGAGCAAGAGAATTTTCAAACGACTGCGTAACGGTGTACCATGTACGAGACTAGTATTTATTTTAAAATGGTGTAACGGAACCGATTTGTAAAGGTTCATTGACCAGTACGTGAAATACGAGGACAAGAAACGCGACAATTTATTATATTCGCATCAGTTTTTACGTTATGTTTCTGCTCGTTGTACAAGTATATTCTTTGTTTGTGGCATTAAGGAGAGAAGGGACGAGTTAAGCGTATACCGATTGCCTTAGATCCTGTGATCGTACACGTTCTTTGAAGTAACGGAAACTATATTCGTATATGTTCGAGTGGACGCGTTAGTAGCGGCGTTAGAATGCTTGTACGATAATATGTTTACGCGTGTACAGAAAAAAAAATTTCATTCTCTCGATATTCGTAAATAGGAATATGTTAAATGTTAACAGGCTGTGCAATTTTTCTAAACGTTTATTCCTTGATATGTAGTAAGCACGATTTTTTTCTACAGATGTCAAGGTGTATTTAATTTCAACTAAGCTATCGCGTATCCCATAAAGTAAATTATCACGATTTCATTAGATAACCGTTGAAGATGCATTAATACGCAAACGAATTGTTCATTTTCTCCGATAGAAGGCGATGATACGCGTGAAAATTCGTTACAAAGTCGTACGTTGTTGTTATTATTTTTCATACGTTCGTCATCTATTTGTTAAATGTGTAAAATTGATATCGAACGTGGGTGGAAACGAATGGAACGATACCGTAAAATTCAGTTTTAAAGGAGCGGTCTTAAAACTGATATTTTGCGCGTGTTCGCTTCTTCTTTTCCGTAATTGTTGGATCGTTGCTCGCGTATCGATTAAAGTATCCTTTATCGGGCTGAAAATACACGTTACGATAATGTCGTGATAATTTGAACAAGTTAAATAGCTTGCAACCAGCATCGATCGATAATTCGAAAAACTTGGTCGATACGGCGTCGGTCCTGCCGCGTCTTTTATCGTTTTAAACAATTTCTACGATCTTAATTTAGTTTGTTACGGAAATATGTGGATATTTTTACAAAGTAAACGCGCATATCGTTAAGTACCTACAAACTATTGATAAGTAAATTATGATACGGTTCAAGGCTGTCGTTCAAACGCGATCAAAGTTTCTTCTTTCTTTTTTATAGTTTTCTCGGAAGCTGTACGCTTCCGTTTTCGTTTACGCGCAGATTCGTTTTGCGTTCGGTTGCTAGACTTTCCTCTCCAGTTCGATTTGCACGTGTCGGTAAACGCGTTTCATCGGTAAATGAATGTACCTTAAACCTGGAATATTTCGTCATTTTTTTTTTCTTTTTTCTTTCTTTTTTTTTCATTCTTTTGTATATTCGTTAATCTTTGATGGCTTGGAGAGTTTTTTAAACGGCGTTCTCGTTGCGGTTTTCGATTCTACAACGAAGGTAGAACCTATAAATTAATTTATTATTATCTGCCGAAACATTGAAATTCAGTTATCTTTGAATGATCTGCGCGCGTTCGACCGTGTGATACATTTGTTCAATTTTGATTGCGTGATCGTCGTAGAAAATTCCTAGACTTTTAGATTGCGTGTAACGACAAAGCAGAAAGACTACGAATAGTTTATCGCGTCTAGTGTGATTGTTATTATTATTATTATTTAGAATTTTGTTGACGAGGAAGCGTGACAGAGATACAAAGTTCCAAACAATAAGAAACCTTAATTACGATCGACTTCGTATAAATGTTGCTAAAGTTGTTAGGCGTAACGAAGATCAATATCTTCGTACGTAGTAATTTTGTAAATACCGTTGTAAAAATTTGTCGCGGTAATAATTGGGCAACTTTTCATGTACAGGGAATAGATGTTCAGATTTTTTAATTTTTTTTTTCTTAGCTATCGGTTATCGATAAGTTCCTTTTTAAATTGTCTCACTTTTCTAATTTTAACGAGTGTTTGACGAAAATACAAAGATTATAACGATCTGACAATTGTTTATAAAACAGGCATCCAAAAACGTAAAATAACGAATATCAAAGCCCTGACACGTTTTAATTCTATTCTAGTTTTTTTACACAATTGCATGTTGTAGTAATCGGATATTCGTAATGTCTGAAAACTCTGTGAAATTCGTGCATTGCATCTCTATTTCGTATCGTGTAACGGCCATTTTGTGATACTATTATATTTATAATTATTAACCGTATCGTTGTTATCTCCTTATTCTCGTTCTTCTTCGTATTATTAATTATCAATTATTTATTATTATTATTATTATATTATCATCATTATGCACTGTCATCGTTGTCGTCATATAATCATTATCATCTTCAACCTCTACTGCTATTGCTATTATTATTATTATTATTGTTATTCTATATTATTATTATTATTATCATCACCATAAGCGTGATCATCAGCGCCATCTTCATTATTACTGTTCTTCTCATTATTATTATTATTATTATTATTATTATTATTATTAATTATTAATATTATTATTATTAATTATTATTATTACTATTATCATTATCATCATCATCACCGCCAATAAAATGTTAGCGATTTTTAAATGTACCCGTATATTATAAAACATATTCCTGTAAGAAATATTTTAAGGAGAATATTATACGTGCATTACATTTTGAAAGTAGTGTGTTTTTGGTATCTTATGCTTACATCTTCCGAGTCTCTCGTGATCCGTAAACTGTTCACTTCCATATCCTTGTATCTGGTGCTGATTTACTACAGGGTTTACCTGTGTCTTTCTTTCCTGTCCGCTGTTCCTTAGCAAATAAACGAATACATCGTTTGCAACGCTTTCGACCGATTATCTTCAATTTGATTCGGCTCGATCGAAAATCGATATCCGGTCGGAACGCGTTCCCGATAACCTAACATTTTGACGATCTGAGATTCGATAAAATTTCTGGCGCTTATAATTAATAAGCTAATTCACGTAACGATTAGGAGCTTATTGCTCGGATGCAGGTTAAATAAAAAGAATAAAATGTTATTGAACGAAAGACAACGAAAGAACCACGTCAAAGTGTTAGTATATCGCATAATCGGTAGAATAGCTTTTTATTTGAGTCCACGTAGAATCTCGCTATCTCGCACGCTTATTCTTTTTCCGTTTAGAAAATATGTTGGTGGGTGTGAAATATTCGTCGCGCTCCTCGAAACGTTTACTTCTGCCTATTAAGGTATACAACGATACGATTAGTCGACGTTATTTCCGATTGCTTTTTCGCATGCATGAACGTAATGGTACTTGCGCGGTGCCTCTCGTAACGTGTACCTATTTCATCTCCGAAAGAATATTTCACGCGGCGAGGGTACGAGCGTCGAATCGTCTTCGCGAACGAACACGCGTTTCGCGGACTTTCGAATATCGTTAATCAAAATTGTACTTGGTTAACGCTTAAACGGTTGGACAAACGAGACATTTCGAACTCGATTGGAGAAAGCGTAAAGATAATTTCGCGTGGTATGAGCCGTTTAAGCGTTAAAAGGAAGTAAGAAAACGTGGTAAACGTAGGAGAGGAGGAAGAGGAAAAAGAAGAAGTAGAAGAAGAGGAGAAAGAAGAAGAAGAAAGGGAAGGAAAACGTGTTTAGACGAAGCCCCCCCCGGTTTTCCCTTTATCGTAGCATCCTCTTTAGTTGGAAAGTTGAAGCACATACACACGCACACACGACATACACGCACGCGCGCGCGCACCTCCGTACGCGTATATACCCGTTAATTGTCCCGTGTATATAAGTACATATGTATACGTACACGTAAATAGGTATTTTGCACGCACGATTATTGACTGATTGCGTCTCTGTGTGTCTGTTCACCCCCTTAGTGGACATGGACCAGCGCGTTGGCCGATACCGCCTTCTCTCGGACGGAGGAATGATAGATGTTTTGTGAGCGCATCGCCGATCGCGATCGTCCCTGTACATCGCTCCTTCCTACGAACGTTACAAACTCGACTATCTTTCTTATCCCGTTCGATGATCCATGCGTTTCTCTTCTCTTCCTCGCGAGTGCTGCGCTCTCTTATTCGATTAGCTTCCTTTTTCGACGACTACCCTTTTCTTCCGTTCGACCGATCGTGTCGGGATATATCGAAAAGTTTCGCGCTTCTTTTACGAAAATTTGCGTCCCATAGTGTTAGCAGAATCGATATTTTTCATAGACAATGTTTTTATATACTCATCATCGACGAGCTTGTAAATTTTCTTAACGGCACGGCACGGCACCGTACGTTCGACCGCGGTAAAACGCTCGGCTTCGTTAACCACGCGATTAACCACGCGAATCGCGTACGTCCTTTCTCGTCGCGTCGATCGGTGGGTCTTTTCCTAACATCGCGAAAGTTTAGTCGAGTTCGTAAACGCTGACCGATGCTTCGAAGGAATGTTCGCGTTGCTCCGTGAGCTGACGAGGGTGATGCGCTTGCATACATTACGGATCCAGATGAAATAATGCTGTAAGAAATGGCAAGACTATTTTCGTAACGTTAATAAATTATAAGTCAATAACAGTAAGAAGAGGAGGAGGATCAGCAAGAGGAGGAGGCGGAAGCGGAGGAGGAGCGACGGAAAGAAGAAATATAACGAGAAGATAAAACAGCGTCAGCGACAAGGACAGAAATGGCAAGAAAGGATAACTGTAACGATAATAATTATAGCGATAACGATATTGGTAACGACGATGATAATACGAGACGCCGTTTAGAAGGAGAATGAGAATTTCGCTACTTATCCTTCGTTCGATAACCGGTGACATTTATCGTTTAACTTTGCGTTCAATTTCTTTTTCAACGATCGAGACGATGCACGAACGATTCGTCGAACACGAATCGCCGCGTAGCTTTAGATATATTTTTCTATGAAAATCGACACGCTTTTTCGCAACGCGTACGATTCCCAAAGGATCGTTTACTCGAGGAAATTCGATGAAAAACCATAAAACGTGACGAAGAAAAAGAGAGTCGTCGATTCCGTACGATTCGACTCGCGCGCGGTCGATCTCGTCGCGATACTCTGCGCGCGTTTTCTTCCGCGAACTCGATTCGAAAAGCAAAGCGGTGAACTACGGGTTGGATTTCGAAGAAACGTTTCACTTTGCGCTCGTATCTTCAGCGACAATTTCGTAAATACGTCGGTGCAAGTTAATCTGTTAGTCGAATTGCTCGATATTCGTACAAGTATATTTTTTCCTAGAGGTTCTTTTCGGATGAAAAGCGTCGAAATAATGTAGAGACTGTGACGGTGGAGCTGTGTAGGGGTTGGAGAAGTAGAAAAAACAGTATGGTTTCTGACGCCGTCCTTTTTTAACGCGTAATTTCTACATCGTGATAACTCGATTTCATCCGCGTTTCCTTCTGTCTCCCCTACCCCCTCTCTTTCTTTCTTTCTTTGCCTCAAGAAACGAAGGAAAAACAACGATTCGAATACCGTTTGACGCTTCGCGTTTCGTATCTTTCGAATACTTCCACGAGTCGGTGAAAATTCCGAAAAGATTGTCCAGAATACGCGTGGTCGTTCGATAACCGACGAACAGACGAAATGATCGCGTGCGCGGATTCGCGTTTACCTCGAAAAAAGAAAATCATTGTTAACGCGTTCTTGCGTCTCGTCGTCGAAACGAGGTCTGACCGAAGAACGGGAGAAAGAGAAAGGAAGAGAGAGAGAGAGAGAGAGAGAGAGCGAGCGAGGAAAGGTGGAAGAAAGCGAACGAAACTTTACTCGCGTCGAGTCGAAATAACGAATTTTCGGTTACGTCGAACGGATTAGTAAATTTACCTCCCTCGAAACTATTAAAATCGCTCGTACGGTTGAATCGCCGGACAACTGTTAGAATGTCTCGATATTTCACCCGTTGAGAAGTAACGGGCGAGGAAAGAAGAGGATAAATTTACTAAATACGTTATCATTTTTTTACTGGTCGATGCAACAACGGTTGCTGCACACGCGTGTACGATATGTCGTTATTCGGCGCCGCGACGTACGCGCTTCTCGAACGTATTTTTTCTCGTACGAAGCCCACGAATACCGTTTTATAAGCGACACCTATTAAAATGAACTTTTATATGATTCAATGCGGAATGTTCAAATATATAAATAAGATGCGTTATTTTCTCGGTGATATCGTTATACTGTACATGAACGAACAGGCGTAACCGTCAGAATTTTGTCCTCTCCAAACTCGTTCGCCGTCCTTTTTTCCTCCATATCGATTAATTTTCACCTTTCTATGTTTCTCCGTTCCATTTTCTTTTCGCTTTAACGATGATTCTTTTGTTTGTTCCAACGAAATACGCTAGGAAACACCGTGTATAGAGTACAAAAGATGGAACGGCAAGAACAGTGTCAGTCGCAGTCGCAAACGCAATCGCAATCGCAGCAATTTAAATTTATTATCACAGGTATGCATCTCTTTCGTGGATTCGTCGCAGACGATTATTTTCTTTTTCCTTTCATTTTTCTTCTTTCTTCTTTCTTCTGTTGCTCTTTATACATTTGTTTCGCTGTAATGAACGCGCGCCGATGAAATGTTTACGTGACTGACGCTGACTCTGCTTACAGGGGAGTCGACGTATTTGTGACTTTGAAAACTAGACTGGTACGACGAGCGAGGATCGATCCGAGCTAAGCTCTCTTCTCAAGAACGCTCCCGCCTGACTGCAACGCATCGCTCGATCACGAGCAACTCTGTCTATGCCTGCCAGTTCATCGCCACACGCGACGCGTATCCTTATTCCCTTTAGCCGTTGCGCCGCGCCCTTCGCGTTTCCTTCATCTTTTTCTCTTGTTCGCTTCCCTTACTTTCTGCTCTCCTCGAACTCGGATATTTTTATCGTTCGCTATACTTTTATCGCCTTTCGTCGTATACGCGACCACGTTATTTTTCGTCGAAAGACGAAATCGCAGAAACAAAACGAACGATTCTTGAACGCGTTTCGACGTGTGCTCGACGAACCTTGCCGGGTGATCTTCTTTTCGATTTTAATTTATCGGGACGCGGTATTTTATATTTTCTTACCGAAGCTTTTTATCGCGTGGGACGACATAGTTTTTTTTTTTTATTCTTATCGAGCAATATCGATTTTAAACGTTGAATTCGTATCTCGTATCGTTCGTTTGTCCGCGCTGTCCGAATCGCTGCGCGTTCGGACATCGAAACGACTCTTCTTTTCTCGTCGTTGTTTCCGCGCGTGTACGCCTATCGTTAAGAGGTCTTTCTCGTCGCGGAACGAATTCGTTTGCCCGGTACGATACGGACGGTGAACGCGGTTACCGTCGCGCTTCGTTGTAATCGCCGATTATCGCTAACTATCGCGAATAGAGAAAGAAAAGATAGAGAAAAATAGTAAGAAGAAAGAGGAGAAGGAAAATTCGCGTTGGGAAAATGTTTGGCGAATCCGCGATCGAAGTAACGAGAAGACGCACGAGTTACCGGAAGCCGAACCGGGGCCAACAAGTTTCAAACTTTCCGCGCGTTGTCGGATAGAAATTATAGATGCGGTTAATTATTGTAAGATGTATTTATAGAAATATGCGAACACTTTCTCGAAACACAAAGTACAAAAGTAACACGATCGGATCTCAAACGTTTCGAAATAATTGCGCTTGCTTCTTTAAGAGTACGTATACTTAAGATATTTTATATAATCGTTATTAAGCAATTAGTCGAAAGTTGACAAGTATTGTACAAAACTGTTCCATCGATCTCTCGAACGTCGTTACCGTTAATCGTTAATCGTTAATCGTTAATCGTTAATCGTTAACGCGACAAAGGCAAATCGATCGGAGTAAAAAATATTTGGCGGGCGACCCGAAGGCGTCCCGTCGCGCGTTCTTAGCAATCTCCTGAACGATCGGTTTATTTCGAACGATCGTAGCGCGTCTCGTCTCGCTTCGCGAACTTCACACACGGCACGCAAAGTCGGACGAAAAGTAAATAAAACTATGAAAGGAAAGTAAACGAAGCTAAAGAACGATATAAATCGTAGAATCGCGAGAGAGTTAGAGCGCCACGATCGTTCACGGAAGCTATAGTTTCGATATTCGATCGAAACGCTCGGACGAAACGACGTCGGTTCGCTACGTTACAATTTGTAAAAATGGAAATACCGTACAATACAGAGGTACAAGTCTACTCTATTTCTCTGGAGGAAATTTGTATCGGGCTTTGGTCGCATCGCGTTCTCTGGTCGTTCGCCGATACTCGACGAACTTTACCTTCCTCTGCCTCGTCCACGATTGAAACCGCCTCTACCACGACCGGCAACTTTTCCCTTCGGCGGCGGAGACTTTGGTCTGAGCGCTTCGATGCGTTCGGTGCAGCCGGTGGTGATCTGACCATTGGCGAAGTAACCGGTATAAAGGTCCGCGTTGAAGTTGGTGTTGGTTAATTCGGGTCCAACGGTGAGCCAGCCAGGTCGAATGGTACCGTCGCGACCGAACAAGTGCAACCTGAGAAGAAAACGCAACGAAAGGTAGGTCGTCGTTTCTAGCGGGTATCTCTCGCCTTCTTCCTTACCGTCGTCTGCCGAGACAGAAATGCTCGATTATGTGGAATATCTCGACGGGTTTCTCTATCGAACCGTACTCGGGCTCCTCCGATATGATCAGATCGATATCGACGTTCGCGTGAATGAAATCGCCGTCCGTCGATCGCCTAACCGTCCCTTTGATTCCCATCAAACAGTGTTCCTTGGTTCTCTGAAGAACCGCTTTACTGTCCAGATTTTTGCTGTGTCCCGGATTGTTGATGTTGGTACGAATCCAACAAATGTCCTCGCACCGTCTAAAGCCCCATTTGCGAAGACAAAACCGACCCATGTCCAATCCGTCGCTGCTGCCGCACCAGAGAAACACGAAGCTTCGATTGGCTGCCACTTCGCCGATATCTAATTCCATTATCTACGAAGTTGTTTTTAATACGCGCGTTGCGAACCACCCGAGTCGCTCGTCTCGCTTTATTATCTTCGGGACTCGTTTCTTCTCGCGAGAATTTTCCTCTCGGTACTTACCTGATCCCAATTCCAGAGCTGAACGTTCGTAGCGCCGCAGGTTCGTTGATACTCCTCCAACGGAGGCTCTATCAGTATAACGTCAAACTTGCAGTTCAGATCTTTTAAATTGTACGCGAGCAAGTCCGTCTTTAGATACATGGGAGGCGTGGCGGTTTCCGCTATCAGGTCGTCCTTCAGTTTGATCAGTTCTCGTAGTTTCGGATATTCCTCGAATCTGTCCGCCAGACCCACGTCTCTGATGAAATTTTGCGGTCGTTGACCCGTGTCGATGAAATGTTGACAGTAATCGTTGTGCGGATTCGACGACTGAGTTCCCTTTAAAAAATACGCGAAGCGACGAATAACGAGAGTGGGTCGCGCGAACCGGTCAACCTACCTTCAGGAACGTCGACGAGTCTTTGTAAACGATCTCGTCGGTCGGGACCGCGTCGTTTTTCGCGTCTTTCGCGCCATTTTCCGACCTCTCCGGTATCGATTTCACTCGTTTCCTTTGCGCGTCATCGACGTCGGTGCCCAGAATTTGTCGCAGCTCGTCCACGCTCGAAACGCCTAGCTACTAGACAGAAAAACGATCCGTATTACCTGTCATAACCTCAAATCGGCTATCTTGAGCGGTTCAAAGTTCCGCCTCACCGTTTGTGCGAGCAACTTTTTTCGCTTTTGGGAACGTTCTCGTAACGTTTGAAGCATTTTTCGACGATTCGACCGTTCCTCGGAACGAATCGTTCAGTGTTCGTGGACGTTTGTCAAGCTCGTTACGGCGATCGCGCTACGTCGGCGCGGTCACTGTCTTTTTTTTTTTTTTTTTTTTTTTTTTTTTTTTTTTTTTTTTTTTTTTTTTTTTTTTTTTTTTTTTTTTTTTTTTTTTTTTTTTTTTTTTTTTTTTTTTTTTTTTTTTTTTTTTTTTTTTTTTTTTTTTTTTTTTTTTTTTTTTTTTTTTTTTTTTTTTTTTTTTTTTTTTTTTTTTTTTTTTTTTTTTTTTTTTTTTTTTTTTTTTTTTTTTTTTTTTTTTTTTTTTTTTTTTTTTTTTTTTTTTTTTTTTTTTTTTTTTTTTTTTTTTTTTTTTTTTTTTTTTTTTTTTTTTTTTTTTTTTTTTTTTTTTTTTTTTTTTTTTTTTTTTTTTTTTTTTTTTTTTTTTTTTTTTTTTTTTTTTTTTTTTTTTTTTTTTTTTTTTTTTTTTTTTTTTTTTTTTTTTTTTTTTTTTTTTTTTTTTTTTTTTTTTTTTTTTTTTTTTTTTTTTTTTTTTTTTTTTTTTTTTTTTTTTTTTTTTTTTTTTTTTTTTTTTTTTTTTTTTTTTTTTTTTTTTTTTTTTTTTTTTTTTTTTTTTTTTTTTTTTTTTTTTTTTTTTTTTTTTTCTGTAAATTCAATTCTAAAAGCACACGCGTTCGCGAGAAAATTCACCGGTGTCGATATCCGTTGATTCGCGGATTTTCATGTTCGACGATTCTCGATCGGAGGTTTCGCGACGACGTTAAAACGCGCGACGCGACAAGTAGGATATTTTTCTGGTCGGCGCCACGGGCGCCGCTGCGTTGCCCTCTCGCGGCAATCCGTCCAACTACCGCGAGCGCCTTTAACTCGAAGCGCGTCGAGGCGAACGTTTCCCAAAGATCGTTACGAACACTTGCTTTTGCTTGTTATCGGAATCGCGTTCGAATCCTCCGTCGGCACGGGGCTGCGAAAATACGCGCGCGATAACGTGCGCGCATTTTTCGTTCGTTTTTTGGCTGGAGCGAAGGAAGAAAGAGACGCGGAGGGTAAAGCGGATAGACGCTCGGTTAGAAAGGCAGATCGAGAGCGAAAGTTACGGGAGGAGCTTGAAAGGAAAAAAAAGAGTGGAAATCGAAATAAAATGAAGCCGATAAGGGTGTTTAAGCTTGCGACGAGAGACGGGTACGGGCGAACGGCGGCAACCCGCCAAGCGTGTCTCGATCGATGGACCGTTCGTCAGTCGACTTTTAAATCGATCGAGGCGCGGGGCCTGATCGTCGCGCGATCTTGTCCGTGCGAAACGACCGACTCGATCGACCACCGCTCGTTTAACGATCGCGCGTATCTATCGAATAGAAACGCGAACGGCGTGCTCTTTTAAAAAAAGAAAGTAATCGAAATCGTTGATAACTATTTCGATGCGCGGTGTCGGAATTTCTGCGATTTCCGCACGCGGCCCCGATCGACGGCCGCTCGGCGTCGGTCGGTAACGATCGGTATTAATCGGTGTAAGAAATGGAAATACGAAGGACGAGGACGGTAAGACGCCGACTCTCCTTCGAATAGTATCTCGCGACCGGTGTCAAGGTAACGGTTATCGGAAGCGAGTGACGAAAAGTTGTGTCGACGTCGCGTCGCTTCCCCGTTGATCACCTCGTCGTCGTCGTCGACCTCGTTAATTTTCGCTATCGCGTTATTTCGATTAAAAATTTGTGTGCTTCGTTAACGATTCGACCGCGGAACAGAAACAGCGTTCGAGGAGGTTCGTATACGCGGTTTTAATCGTTCGTTTACGCCTTTCGAGCAAAGGTTGCATAAAGGTTTCCTCGTTTCTCGAAGACGTCGCGTTCCCTCGGTCGTTCGTTGTTTGTTTGTTTGTCTCGGTGGCGCGTCGTCGGGTAGACGTTCGACGAACGCG